GACAGAAAATTGTCTGTGCAGGTCCACGTCTTCGTATATCCCCCATATAACGGTACCTCCCAATATTCGGTATTTTGATTATTTTAGCGACATTATTCACCGGTATTGTTTCAAATTTTGTATATGAAGTTCGAAATGGATGCTTCACTCTAAGACAGGAAATTGTTTGTGCAGGTCCACGTTTTCATACAGCCCCCATATAACGGTACCTCCCAATATTCGGTATTTTGATGATTTTAGCGTCATTATTCACCAGAATTGTTTAAAATTACGTATTTAGAGTTCGTTATGGGAACTACAGTCTGTGAAAGAAAATTGTCTATGCAGGTCCAGGTCTTCGTATAGGCCCCATATATCAGTACTATATATATAAGGTATTTTGGCGATTTTACGTACAATACCCACCGAAATTGTTTGAGATGTGCTATTTGAAGTTCGTAATGGATGCTACAGCCTGTGACAGAAAATTGTCTATGCAGGTCCAGGTCTTCGCACAGCTCCGATATAACGGTACCTCCCTATATACGATATTTTGATGATTTTAGCTACATTTTTCACCGTTTATTTCAAGTTTCGAATTTGAATATGGTAATGGCTTATGACAAACAATGCCTTTGTAGGCCCACGTCGTATAGACCCCAATATATCGGCTGTGTTTGGTATTTTTAAAATTTTAACAGAATGTTTTTAGGATTTTATTTTTTCGAAAATTTCCAAATTCGTTCCATATGGTGGAGGGTATTCGAAGTTCGGTCCGGCCGAACTTACTACTTTTTAACTTGTTGTAGAATATAAATGGAACCAGTGAAAGATTTTCAGCATGCTGAGGTTATCACTTCCCTGGATAATTTATTTCCTTTCGTACCTCAGTTAGATCTATGTGTTTCCCTTAATAACTATCATAACCTGCAATATATCTCTAAGCAGACTATGCTTTTTAAGAAAGATTTGCTACCGTGTCCTGTTGCATAAGACATCGGTTGGCGTTTTCGTAAAAGAACGAAGGATATTAGATTGAAATAGTTCAATTTCTTCCCATAATTTAAACTTTTTCGCTCTAAAGTCTTTGGTTCGAAAAATCGTAATATGTATTCACTCCTTTGCTTCTATTTCGGGTTGCAATCTACTCAAATTTGCCTTATACATTTAACAAGGAGAACAGAAATATCTGAACTTCAATCGCATGAAATTTGGATGATTAAGACGGCTGAAAGGTGCAAGTAACCATCTGCTCAGATATGGATCCGAAAATAACATCTAGTTTTAGCTCAAGAAACATTTGCATCTAACCAGAGATTTAGGGATCGAGCTCATTAAAAATATTCCAACGAAAATTTTGCATATTATACGCGAGCGACAAAGGATTTCCTACCTTAAAAAATCTTACCTATTTCCAATGCAACCAACAGTGTTTCTTTGGGATTCCCCGTTTCAGAAACATCAGTTAGATAACATGTCTTTCGATGTTGCTGTTGAAGTTTCCGGTCTAAAACGCTTTTTCTGGATTAGCTATATAAGTGTTTTGCGCCAAGGCCCATTGTCTAATTGTAAGGCATAAAATTGGAACAAGAGAAGTTGGGAGTCCATCATGCGGATAAATGCAGATTTTTTGACGCCCAACATTATTCTCTTCTTAATAATTCGCTTAATAAAATATGATGATGTTGAAACCAGTACTACCCAAATTTCTTCCGCAAAATATTGAATATAAGACAGTTAAGTTGTTGAATTATTTGCAAACAGAAGGGAATTTGTTATAACTTACGTTCGATTAGGTTTCATAATTGGTAGGCCTATAATACACAAACAAATGTGTAATAACCCCTTTAATTGACAACGATTTCTTTTTTCGGTTCATTGCCAACAAAGTGTTCGAACATTTGAATTTAAATGAGAAGCCCAATACAGAGCTTAATCTAAATTGCATGAGATTACCGTAATGAGCCTGAAAGTATGCTTTGATTTTTGTATGTCAAAATTATTCATTACTTAATGGCACAACGCTACACATAACTCCGTTGCTTAGGGTATTATACGATTGGACATGCGTTTGTGACATGACAAACGATAAATACATAGGAAAGAGAGATCTCATAGACTATGAAGTCCTCTTAAACTAGAGTATTTTTGATAAATATCTTTTAGGCCCGCTATGAAGAAATCTTAAGCTGCTACTCTTAATAAAAACATTGGTTCGATATGTTTTAAAACATGAACTCTAAAATCTGCAGATTAAAAGTGGTTGTGGGTGTACCCACATTATCGTGAACTGATTTCATATCCAATGTCGAATTTATGTGGAAAATTCACTGCGAGTAGAATTAATGTAAAAGAGAGATAAAGAAGGGAGAATACAGGGTGAGATAAAAAACAAACAACAAAGTCAAACGCCATAATTTTTACATTTTTTTTTAACTTTATTGAATGAAAACAAAAAAAATCGGAAATAGCATCAAAATTTAGAATAAGTCTAGATTTGTTCGAATTGGTCACTTTTGGCACGATTTGTGGCCTTCTGACAATGAAACCGTCACACGCTGCCGAATATTGCTCTGCGGTATTATTGTCCATTTAGTATTTTTTAGTGCCAACCTTGCTTTTCAAAATACTCCTGACACAATAGTCCAATGAATTGGTATCCAGAGATTTTGGTGGAAATGAAGCGAGGAACCTGATTTTGTAATCATTCTTGCGTGGCGCGTGCTGAGTGCGTTGGTGCAGAGTCACGTTGGAATGTCCAAGGTCTGCGGATAAAATGTTAGCTTACCCAAGGCTTTAGTACACCCTCCACAATATTTTCGCGATAATATTTGGCATTTATTCTGATGCCACGGTCGATTAATACGAGCGGAGAGCGACCATCAACTGTTATGGCGGCCCACATCATCACTATGGCCGGCGCTCGAGTTCTGGTGGCCAACCGAAGGTGCACAGTTTCAGCTGACCTATTGAAATTGGAGATAATCGGTCAAAATTTAGATATAGCTCCCATATATACCTTCGTCCGATTTGCTTTTTATTGTGCACCAAACGTGTAATATCAGCCCGAATTGTATGCGAAAGTCCGCATATACACTCAAATTAGGCCTGAAAATAAGTATGCCAAATTTGATCGAAATCGGTTCAGATATAGCTATAGCTCGCATATATATTGTTCATCCGATTTGTTATTTTTGTCCTTCGCAGCAGTAACATGCACTCTGTAGAGATCGGTTCAGATTTGGATATAGCTCTCATATATAACTTCGTCCGATTTTGCTTTTATTGTGCACCAAACATCTAATATTTGTCCGATTGGAATGGAATTTGGCACTTACGACCGAATTGAGTCTGGAAGCTAGTATGTCAAATTTGGTGAAGATTGGTTCAGATATAGCTATAGCTTCCATATATATTATTCATCCGATTTGTTATATTTGTTACCCACAACCGTAATATGCACTCCGTAACAACGATATTCAGGGAAATATATCAAATACAGCTCAGAAATATCTTTGCCAAATTTTATTGAGATCGGTTCAGAATTGGATATAGCTCCCATATATATCTTTATCCGATTTCTGGTTAATTATCCGATTTCTGGTTAATTGTGCACCAAATGGGCAATACAATTCCGAATTTAAAAGATACAAATGCTTCGGCATATTTAGTCCTTTAAATTTTAAATTATAATTATAATCATAAGGTGTATGATTGAATTCTCCCATAAAAACTTTTGTTATGTGGGGCTCTACTAAATTAGCAAAGTGGTGTAGGGTATCAGAAAGTCGGCCCCGCCCGACTTTAAGACTTTCTTTACTGGTTTCTTTCTGTTGTGGTGTAAGTTTTACCCTGAGCTCATTTTTCAATATTTGCCGAATGGAATATTGCGATATGTTCAGCTCACCAGTCATTTTTCGGCCTCTGCGATGCGCGTCGATCACTTCGATCAAGTCGCTTCTTTACTTTTCGAACCATTTCTGCTGATGTTGCTATTTTTTCCGCTCACTCCCTTGCCGGTAACGAGCGGTGTTACGAGACTCAAAAGATTTATTCACATTTAAATGCTGGAGTGCTCTAACGATAGCCACTCGTCGTTTTCCAGCCAAATATAAAGAAATCACACAATCGCGCTTGAATTCCATCACGAATAACTTTCTTTTTGGAAAATTCTCTCAAAAATGCTTTTGGTACGCTTGTAAAAAATATAATGAGCTGTCACTGGAATAATTTTAACAGCTGGCGGACGAGTGGCTTAGTTATGACAGCAGTCTGAAGTTGATTGCAGTTTTTTCATCTCACCTGTAGATATAAAGCATGCGAGGATGTACCGTAATTGCAGATTCAGGAAAAATTCTAAGTGATCAGAGAGACTGGGATGCCCCTGCATTCCCTGCATAAGTGATGAATGATCCTGCAAAATTATTAAATTATTATCCTGAAATTGAACTTAAAAAAAAGATATCTGTGGATCTCCATTAAGTAAGACGTTATAGGCTCTTATAAAGGAGCCTTTATAGGCTCCTATAAAGAAGTCTTTATAGGCTCTAAAGTTACCTTTATAGGTTCCTATCAAGGAGTCTTTATAAAGGATGCTTCCTAGGCACCTATAAAGAAGTTTATATTTTTTATAGCTCCTATATAGGAACATTTATATGCTCTTATAAAGGAGCCCTTAAAGGGTCCTATAAAGGAATCTTTATAAGCTGCTATAAATGAGCCTTCTATAATGAGCCCTTAGAGGAGGATCCCCTATCAGATTCCTATGAAGAATCATTTACATTCTCCTAGTAAGAAGTATTTTGCTTCTTTTATTATTTTGCTCCTTTTAGAGGATACCCTGGTCGTGATTACTTGATTTTTTTAAAGGAGTTTTTTTTCGCAACTAACGACATGCGATTAGTGTATTTGTTCTTCCTATCCAAATAACATCGGTAATCGCTCACTATAAAAGCGAACATGTAGTAGCAACTATCCGACACTCTCCTACATCAGCATTAGCAAAACCCACTTCAAATAAAATGCAAACCTTGCGGACACCATTCAATCAGGAAATACCAAGGGCATTCAGTTATCAAGACCGAAATGGCAAAAAGCAATTTGGTGGTGAAAATTTACAACTCCTAACGGATTTCGCACGTTTACATGGCATGCAACTGGAACTTGTACCGCTGCTGGACTACAATATCGCCAAAGTGCAGGGCGATATTGAAAAGGGCATTTACAATCTCTCCGTACACCGATCAACATTCTACAATCCTTTGGCGAACATAACCTTCAGCTATCCCCTGGAAAAATCGAAAATTTGTATAATGGTTCCCGCCGAGGCGGAGTTGCCGCGCTATTGGTATTTGGTGTGGCCATTTGATGTCTACATTTGGCTACTCTATATTCTGGCTGTACCCTATGTGGCCCTGTGTTTATCATGCGTTAGAAAACCGAAAAGGAATTTTGGAGCCAACTGCCTAGCCAGTTGGGCCTTGCTGTTGTTCAACTCAAACAGTCATTTGAGATTGGTCAATAGCTCCACACACCTGCAAGTTGTGTTTATCTTAAGCACATTTTTGGCATTTATACTCTACGGCTATTACATTTGCTATTTGACCAGCTATAATATGCGTCCTGTGTTCCAACCATATCTGAGCACCGTGTCGGCTTTAATCGAAGCAAATATGGAAATCCTCACACCCAAACATATATCAACCGAGTTGGATAATAATCCCCATGTCGATCTGTCATCCGTTCACGCCCTTATGGTCAATGCATCCTATCGCGATGTTGCCAAGCTACTGAGTAGTCAAACGCGTTCCTATGCCTTTATTGTGACCCATGACGATTGGCTGTTTTTGGAGAAAATCCAACGGCATTTGATTCAGCCCGTCTATCAGATAACGGATATTTGTTCTTGTGATATATTCACCAGTTATCCGGTGCGAAGGGATTCGTCATTTGCCGCTGCATTGGATTTCTTTATTCTGTTGGTCCACGAAGCGGGTCTGTGGCAACAGTGGCAGGAGAGAGCATTTCAGGCCCTAACCAATTCAAAACAATTTCAGGTGTTAAAAGATTCATATCCGGTGAATCCTCTGGATATTTTCTATTACAGAATCGGTTGGATTTTATTTGGATTTGGTCATTTGGTGGCGGCAATTTGTTTTGTGGGTGAAATTTTGATTTTTCGTTGGAAAAAATAAATTAGAAAAAAAGAACAAGGGTTTTGTTGGAATAAGTTTTTTTTTTTTTAAAAAAAAAAAAAAATAATAACAACAAAATTAGATATTGCACATTTTTCTTTGAACTTGACCAGCAGGTAAGAAAATTGCCCACTTTGTTGTAAAAAAAAAAATGCTAAAAACAAAAACAAATTAGAACCAATGCTCTAATTAAGAGATGTTATTTTTAAATAAATAAAAAATAAATAAAGATTTTAATGCGAAATAGACTTGTTTGAATGAAAAATCCATTTCAGTATTTCGGAAACGATCTTGTAGTCGAGACGTATTTTGATATCGGTTAATATTTTTATTCCGGAAAATGAACAAAATATTGTTGATATTCATTGCAATGATGATTGTTGCTATTTGCAATGTAGCTGAGGCACGGGGAGGAGGTGGTGGCGGTGGACATGGGGGTGGAGGCGGTGGTAGAGGAGGTGGCTTTGGTGGCGGCGGCAGAGGAGGTGGATTTGGTGGTGGCGGCAGAGGAGGAGGATTTGGTGGTGGCGGCAGAGGAGGTGGTTTTGGTGGTGGCGGCAGAGGAGGTGGTTTTGGTGGTGGCGGCAGAGGAGGTGGGTTTGGCGGCGGACGCGGCGGTGGTTTTGGAAGAGGTGTTGGATATGGCTATGGTGGAGGCTTTGGTGGCGGCGGTGGCTTCGTACCTCCCTTTCGTCGTCCATACCCCCATTACGGTGGTTTTGGTTTCTAAGCAAAGCATGTAAACCATTACCTGGAGTACATATGTATCAAAAAGAGAAATACATACGTATTTTAAATAAAACATCACATACATATATATGCACCAATTGTATTGGTAATTAATAACGAACTAGACTGTTAACCAAAGGGAAGGCTAAACTCTTTTAAGAAATGTCTTGGGCCCTGTTCTAGTATGTCGAAACGAATGAGTACCACAATTTCAAATAAGTTTTTCAAACATTTTATATTTTTGAGTAAAATCAAAATTTTGAGAAACGCATTTGGAATGACGTGTATTATACCCTACAACAGTATGTGTTGGGGGTATTATAAGTTTGACTGGTCAGAATAGAACCCTATTTCTTTTGGAGATGATCGCATAATATACAGGGGTCGAAATGGACCAAAAACTGAAAAAATTCCTGATTTTGCAGTTGCTCTACAGGTCGCAATTATAGAACAATCGACGCGGAAGTTAGCATGGGACTAGAGCTTAAGGCTGGGCAGAAGCCTTCCAATTTTATTGGTCATCGGGTAATATTTAGTGGGTGAAAAAGGATATGACATTTGAGTTAAATAAAATCAAATTTTCCCTTAAACCGCGAATATTTTTAATCCCGGCGAAATCACAAATAGACGAACAGGTCAATCCTGACCATTAAGTAGATGCCGATAGTAAATATTTCGGATATATATAGCGAAATATATATACAATGTATATATACAAAGGAAGGGGATGTTAGCTAAAATGCTTATATCTCAAGAATGGCTGGACCGATTTTGATAAATTTTGTCAATCCAGAATGCCCTCATGGCATAAAAGGATAAAATCTAAAAAAAACGCATAAAAAGACGCCTATAATGATGTTAATATAGATTTTTTAGTATTTTGTGACATATTTTTATTTTTTCATATTTTTTATCGCATGCGATTTTTTTAATTTGACTTATAATATTTAAGTGTATATTTTGTAATATTTTTTCACCTTACAACACAGGTTGGGGATATTGTATATATATTGCTATTATCGTCCGATCCTCACGAAGGGGGTAGGGTTAGGCTCAGAATGGCTAGGCCTATTGTTTTCAAAGATGTCCGCAATATATTTAAGGGTTGAAATTGACCAACAAAAAATGTTCCTGATTTTGCAGCCGTTATAATACAAATAAAAACCAAAGGATACAAAATCTCGCATGAAGTTAGAGTTTAGGTCTCTGGGTAGAATGGTAGAATGGTAAAATATACCAGCATAACTTACAGGCAATATCCGACGATAGCCAAATATCGTAGACAGGAAAATCATATAGATGAGTCTTAATTTGGAAATTCAGAGGGTCCTCTTGCTTTTTGAGATGGTTCAAATGAACCAAAAACAGAAAAACAATCCTGATACACAATTGGAACCATTCGACTTGCCTGGGAAGAGCGATAAGGACAGGGAAGAATTCTAGCATTTTCGCACAACAAGTAACAACACGACATAGTAAATATTGGGCAAATGTCCCTGTTCAAAATGCTAAAGGTAATATCTGCGCAGTGCTCCGTGACATAGTTTCAAAAGCGAAATCTTCCAAAATGGATTAGGACATAAGAGGGCTTCTAACATGTTGTAGTGTTGTAGGGTATTACATGGCCGCCCCCCCCCCCCCCCCCCTCCCCGACTATAGCCTTTGCTTACTTGCTTTAAATAAGTTTTTCAAACATTTAATGTTTTTGAGTAAAATCAGAATTTTGAGAATCGCATTTGGAATGAAGTTGAAGTTGAATTACTGGGTATTTTAAAATGGCCATAACTCCTTAAATATTGATTTTTCCGGGGTTTTTAGCTATTATTTGTGATCACTTATTTTGGGCATGAATTATTCAATACTTTAAAATGGCCATAACTCCTAAAATATTGACTTTTCGGCGTTTTTAGCTATTATTTGTGATCACTTTTTAAGCATGAATTATTCAATACTTTAAAATGGCCATAACTCCTTAAATATTGACTTTTCCGGGGTTTTTAGCTATTATTTGTGATCACTTATTTTGGGCATGAATTATTCAATACTTTAAAATGGCCATAACTCCTAAAATATTGACTTTTCGTCGTTTTTAGCTATTATTTGTGATCACTTTTTTAAGCATGAATTATTCAATACTTTAAAATGGCCATAACTCCTTAAATATTGACTTTTCGGCGTTTTTAGCTATTATTTGTGATCACTTTTTAAGCATGAATTATTCAATACTTTAAAATGGCCATAACTCCTTAAATATTGACTTTTCCGGGGTTTTTAGCTATTATTTGTGATCACTTATTTTGGGCATGAATTATTCAATACTTTAAAATGGCCATAACTCCTAAAATATTGACTTTTCGTCGTTTTTAGCTATTATTTGTGATCACTTTTTTAAGCATGAATTATTCAATACTTTAAAATGGCCATAACTCCTTAAATATTGACTTTTCGGCGTTTTTAGCTATTATTTGTGATCACTTTTTTAAGCATGAATTATTCAATACTTTAAAATGGCCATAACTCCTTAAATATTGACTTTTCTTTGTTTGTAGCTATTATTTGTGATCACTTTTTTGGACATGAATGATTACATATTTTAAAATGACAATAACTCCTTAAATATTGACTTTTCGGCGTTTTTAGCTATTATTTGTGATCACTTTTTTAAGCATGAATTATTCAATACTTTAAAATGGCCATAACTCCTTAAATATTGACTTTTCGGCGTTTTTAGCTTTTATTTGTGATCACTTTTTTAGGCATGAATTATTCAATACTTTAAAATGGCCATAACTCCTTAAATATTGACTTTTCGGCGTTTTTAGCTATTATTTGTGATTATTTTTTTGGACATGAATTATTCAATACTTTAAAATGGCCATAACTCCTTAAATATTGACTTCTCGGCGTTTTTAGCTATTGTTTGTGACCACTTTTTAAGCATGAATTATTCAATGCTTTAAAATGGCCATAACTCCTTAAATATTGACTTTTCGGCATTTTTAGCTTTATTTGTGATCACTTTTTTAAGCATGAATTATTCAATACTTTAAAATGGCCATAACTCCTTAAATATTGGCTTTTCGGCGTTTTTAGCTATTATTTGTGATCACTTTTTTAAGCAAGAATTATTCAATACTTTAAAATGGCCATAACTCCTTAAATATTGACTTTTCGGCATTTTTAGCTATTATTTGTGATCACTTTTTTAAGCAAGAATTATTCAATACATTAAAATGGCCATAACTCTTTAAATATTGACTTTTCGGCATTTTTAGCTATTATTTGTGATCACTTTTTTAAGCATGAATTATTCAATACTTTAAAATGGCCATAACTCCTTAAATATTGACTTTTCGGCGTTTTTAGCTATTATTTGTGATCACTTTTTTGAGCGTAAATTATTACATATTTTAAAATGGCCATAACTCCTTCGATATTGATATTTCAGCGTTTTTAGCTATTATTTGTGATCACTTTTTTAAGCATGAATTATTCAATACTTTAAAATGGCCGTAACTCCTTAAATGGCTAATATTTCTGACCACTTTTTTGGGCAAGAATTATTCAATACTTTAAAATGGCCATAACTCCTTAAATATTGACTTTTCGGCTTTTTTAGCTATTATTTGTGACCACGTTTTTGGGCATGAATTATTCAATACTTTCAAATGGCCATAACTCCTTAAATATTGACTTCTCGGCGTTTTTAGCTATTGTTTGTGATCACTTTTTAAGCATGAATTATTCAATACTTTAAAATGGCCATAACTCCTTAAATATTGACTTTTGGGCCTTTTTAGCTATTATTTGTGACCACGTTTTTGGGCATGAATTATTCAATACTTTAAAATGGCCATAACTCCTTAAATATTGACTTTTCGGCCTTTTTAGCTATTATTTGTGACCACGTTTTTGGGCATGAATTATTCAATACTTTAAAATGGCCATAACTCCTTAAATATTGTCTTCTCAGCGTTTTTAGCTATTATTTGTGATTCTTTTTTTGGACATGAATTATTCAATACTTTCAAATGGCCATAACTCCTTAAATATTGACTTTACTCTTTTGGTCATGAATAATTACATATTTTAAAATGGCCATAACTCCTTAAATATTGACTTTTCGGCGTTTTTAGCTATTATTTGTGATTACTCTTTTGATCATGAATAATTACATATTTTAAAATGGCCATAACTCCTTAAATGTTGACTTTTCGGCGTTTTAAGCTATAATTTGTGATTATTTTTTTGGTCATGAATAATTACATATTTTAAAATGGCCATAACTCCTTAAATATTGGCTTTTCGGCGTTTTTAGCTATTATTTGTGATTACTCTTTTGGTCATGAATAATTACATATTTTAAAATGGCCATAACTCCTTAAATATTGACTTTTCGGCATTTTTAGCTATTATTTGTGATCACTTCTTTAATCATGAATTATTCAATACTTTAAAATGGCCATAACTCCTTAAATATTGACTTCTCGGCGTTTTTAGCTATTGTTTGTGATCACTTTTTAAGCATGAATTATTACATATTTTAAAATGGCTATAACTCCTTAAATATTGACTTTTCGGCGTTTTTAGCTACTATTTGTGATCAGTTTTTTAACCATGAATTATTCAATACTTCAAATTGGCCATAACTTCTTAAATATTGACTTTTCGTCGTTTTAAGCTACTATTTGTGATCACTTTTTTTAAGCATGAATTATTACATATTTAAAAGTGGCCATAACTCCTTAAATATTGACTTTTCGGCGTGTTTAGCTATTATTTGTGATCACCTTTATAAGCATGAATTATCCAACACTTTAAAATGGCTATAACTCCTTAAATATTGACTTTACGGCATTTTTAGTTATTATTTTTGATCACTTTTTTGGGCATGAATTATTACATATTTTAAAATGGCCATAACTCCTTAAATATTGACTTTTTAGCTACTATTTGTGATCACTTTTTTAAGCATGAATTATTCAATACTTTAAAATGGCC